ATAGAACATCAGGATTTGTGAATAAAAGTCACAGTGACAGAGGTTTTATTGTAACAGGATGACCGGGATTTAGTTTGTCCCATGAAACATGAGCTTAATACACTTTATCACTGAAAGTCTAATCTGAAAATAAAAGGATCCGTGATGTTTCACGTTTTGCGGTCTAAAGACAATATGCTTGCCCCCAAATACCAAAGATGAGTGACTGATCCAACAAAAGTAAAGAATTCATATTTTTTTTCCCATTGTTTTTTCATCACTTGTGGTATTCCCAACAACGCCAACTCCTAAAAGACGTTCATTTTACTCACCACAAACTTTCTTTCGAAATCCATTCTTGTTGATTCCTTTGAAATTCTGTCATTAACACCACAAATAGTCTATCATAAGGGAGGATAGGTGTTGAAATGCTCCAAAAGGCGGCAGTCTCTGATTTTAAAAGCAACGTCTTCCACGCAGTATGAAGTAAGGTAAGACATGTGTCCTTTTGAAAGGAACCAGACTTGTTTTTCTGTCCAATAAGCAGGTGATATAGGGAAAGTTTCATGTCAAGGCCAGATGTCCAGTGCTAGCGTTATGTAATGACGCAATGTGGCCTTGAAGACGAGAGCTCCCAGACCTCTCACCGCTGAGAGTCCTCCAAGGCTTGCAGGCAGAATCCCTGAGGTTTCTCATCACCAAGACACACACATACACACGCCATGTGTGACAACACGCCAGCCCACCCAGATATTACCCACAGGAAAACAAAATAATGCATGTGGATGGAATGCTGTGGACGGAGCGCTTTAAAAAGTTTTGGATACGGCAAATAGCTACATAACCTAAAGGTATCGAGTTCCTTTTTCTTTTTCAGCATCAAACCCAGCAAATTGCATGGAAAATGTGTTATATCTTCACTTTCCTTGAACTAACTAAATCAAAAGTGTTTGTGTTCAAACACCACCGATTTGTTTGTGTTCCTTCTGTCTGTTCAGTTAAACACTTCTTGACATGTTTGATCCAATTCCATTTTTTAAGATTCCTTCAGATGGTGAGCAAGAGGAACTGGGCTTGGGGTTTCTCAGGAACTATCTCGCCTCACACATTTAATGCATTATCTCTCACAGCGAATGGAAAGGGTTCATGATCCTGACAATTTCATCCAGTGGTTGAAGAACTTGCCATCATTATCCAACTCATAAGTTAAACTACTCCCATATAGCTTTTTTAATTCAGTTCGTCTGCATCTGTGAGGATGTTTATTGTGAAGGCCTTGATTCGGTAACTTCATTAAGACCGACGTGAATGCTTTATGTGGTAAAGTATTCTATATGTTGACTCAAAGGGATTTAATTACTGATAAGTGAGGCATTTCTGTGTTCATTTTAATGTGTTAAATGTGTCATGCACAATGTTCATACACATATTATACTCTTAGTCGATGAAAAGCAGAATGTTCTGTAATGCAATTATTCATGATGCAACCCTTTGAAATCAGAATGTGATTCAGAATGTGCTGACTAACTCAACGACGGTTGGTTACATAAAATCTATTAAGTAATCTTGCAGTTGCACAACAAGTCCTTAAATATCTAGTCTTTGGTCTACTGTAAATACTGTAGCTGTCAATTCAAATCAGCCCAACTTTCCATAAAGACTAAACCAGAGCTGTCCGTGGTTCTGAAGCGTCTGTTGATCGTACAGTGGCAAACTTTGATACCTCCAGATTCACAGGTCAATGAAAAATTCAATTCGTTGCGATTTGCTCAATTCTCTGTAGGCCACAATACTTTAGAAGGGATGAAACTGAAACACAAGATTCGTTATTGAATTTTATATGCAAAAGCAATGCAACTATATTGAAAGAAAAATATGGGGAACAACAAAAACTTTTTATGAGGAAATGGTCAATGTGTACTTACAACCACTATAAAACCTCATGTTTTTCAAGCCTAAATCAGACCCTTAAAACAGATCACAGTTGTCTTTAATCAAGCTCATTTGTTGTTGTAGAAAACAATGTTATTGGATAAAATGCATTAATATGGTTGACAGACCAAATAAACACCAACATAGCAGCATGTTTCCCAAACCCAAGTTTCAACCCCACATGAACATTACACACACTTTAGTTTAGGCAAGAAAGGCCCATCTGTGAAAGATCTCATACTATTTTGCCATCTCAATTGGATACTTTCATGTTTTCAAATCACATTTGACAAGTAATGTTGATCTTATCCCAGTACTGACGAAAAAAGCTAGGAAAATACACCCCCGCTTTGGTTGTATTAACTTACATTCAAATGCAGAATATGACTTCATATTAGTTTGTAAAATCAGTTCTGTGTTCTGTGCCTGGAGTTGGCAGGCGCCTGGTCTCTCTGTTTCTCTCACTCACTCGAGCTGAATTGATAAACACATGCTTCATCTCAGTCAAAGCCAAGGCAAATGTTTGACACACCTGCTGAACAGAAATTGGAAACCTCGAGAGATCATACCAGATACAAATCTCAGCCTGAACTGGCCCTGTGTTTAACACGTGCTGTAAGTGCAGTCTGAAAACCACTATATTTAGCACTTTTGCTCTTTTATGTTAGCTGACATAAGGTTTCGGAGACCTGTTGATCACTAATGATAGGAGAGCGCCTCTGTTACTGGAACTCCTTGGGCTTGGCTCAATATCACCACATCTAGGTCCAAAAATACGCAGCGGTGCCGCTACCCTCGGGGCTGTTCAAATCGGCCCTGTCTATTGCTGCTCTCCAAGCAACCTTTCTGGAATTAAATATTTACAGCTGCTCCTGTGGTTTGGTCAACAAGCCACAGATTCCTTTGGGGAAACAGTGAAGTTGTGAAGCTGTGAAGGTCACAATATATATTTCAGCTACAGCTGCTCCTGTGGTTTGGTCAACAAGCCACAAATTCCTTTGGGGAAACAGTGAAGTTGTGAAGCTGTGAAGGTCACAATATATATTTCAGCTAAAACCAACAAATGGGAATTCCTTCAGCGCTGCGTACTGAATATGTATGATGCATCTGAATCGGTTTCTCCCTGCGAGAGCCAAATGACTCTGTGGCTCTTTCATGAGTCAACAGGGGATTGCAGACTTATACAACAGGTATTTGTATTTATCTGCCTTGTCTATTTCTTTATTGACGTTTTAATGTAATAAGTTTGTAGGCTTGGTAGTTATCAGGGAAATCTCGATGTAGGCCTTTTTTCATATTAAACTGTACTTTGAAGATTAAGCACCATTTACAAAAAGGGTTGGGAATGGTAAAGAATATAACTATTATGATTTTGGTTCCTTAATGGATCCATTAACAATTCTTTTAAGGAAAGAAATACTAATTCAATAACAATTAAATGATTCTTGCAAAAGGTGAATTTTAGAGTCTTTTTAGAGGCCGCATAAATACATTTGAGTTGTTTGATTCACTAAAAACAACGGAATCATTCTTTCGGCAATCGGACTACACTGTTTACGTTGTGTTTTCGATTCACTAAAAAGAGCCAACTCATTCGAATGACTCATTCAGTAATCAACTGTGCTGCTTGTTTCTGATTCTCTGAAAAGAATCGGCTCATAAGAGTCATTCGTTCGGGAATCAGACGTTGTCAGTTTAGCGATTCATTTGCCGTGTTGCGGTGCCTACACTCTAAAAAATGCTGGGTTGTTTCAACCCAACTTTGGGTCAAATATGGACTAACCCAACTTTTGGGTTAAAAATTTAATGTAAAAATTTAACCCAACGGTTGGATTAGTCCATACTTGACCCAAAGTTGGGTTGAAACAACCCAGCATTTTTTAGAGTGTATTGCTGGAAACTCAATGGAAATATTTTTATATGGTTCACCATGCTATAAAGTATGATAACGAACCGAACATCATACGACTCAAAAAATAAAACTGATTTTCGGTTCCCAGCCCTAGTCTTGAATCCATTTCTGTGTAATTGTACATGAAAAGATGTTTACGAAAACCCCCAAAAAACTTCTAAACAAACACATCAATACTCTTAACTTGAAACAATGAGAACTGCCTGGGAAAGTCCATGAGTCAGCATCATGTTCCCACGTGAAAGCAAAAAGCAAGAGAGACTATGATAAAAAGGTGAGACTTCAACCCAAAACTTCAAAGTTTTTATTTGCTAATTGCTGGAACTGCTCCGATGTTTTGAGAGGGGGAAAAGCGTTAGGCCTACAGTAGAGATAATCAGAATCAGCCCATAATCTACTGCCAATATTTACATACACACCACATGCCCTTCACATTGACTCTTTGAAGTGAGTGGGCTAGTAGAGCAGAGTTTCATGATTGAAAGTTGTAGTTAAAGTTGAAAATGAGGCAAAAGGGCATTGAGTATGGATATAGATTTATATGTGGCTTTTGATAACAGCTGAAATATAAACAAAGATGAATGTTTTCAATTCAGAGTACCAGACTTCTTGGGGCACAAGTGAACTCAGCTTTAAAAGAATCTTAAAGCATAGTGTCCCTTCCATGACTGATGCTAGGACAATAATAAGTGTGGCAGTGACCGAAGACTGTGTGTTTTGAATTCTTGAATGCTTTTAGAGATGAGCTCATAGTTATCACTGGAAATTTTTTTATTGCTTTCTTTATGAAACAGTGATGTCTGGTTTCAATTTAAATGGTATTTTTATAGCGTAAACAGTGACTGAGAAAATCACTAAAGCTGATAGTTTTTACAGGTACAGAAAACGTATTAACCGTATCACCTCTTCCCTCTATAAGTGCAGCAAGTTCATTTGTTTTACAGATGCATTTGACCTCTGAGAAGTGAATAAAAGAAGAAAATGAGCTTTTCTCAGCATCATGGACGCAACTTCTGCTAGGTAAGGAGAAATATATTTATTTATTCATGTGTAACCGATAGAATAGCTTTAAAAGAGGAGCATAAATGATAAAAAAAATGTCCATTCCATGTTTTTTTGCCTTTGTTTTTCTTTAAATATTACATTAAAATAAATAATTTATTTCAAAGCAGTCAGGTAAAGAATGGAGATATCAAATACAGTGGCTTTTGCATGTTAATAATGTTAGAGTTCTTTACGCTATGGTGCTAGCTTGACTAAATTCGGATGGTAGGATGCGGGGTCTCCATCTCGGAGTCTCAGTCTTGCACCTTGAGCAAGTGCTTCCAGTAAGTGTTTGCATAACTTTCAGTCCACTGAGTCACAGAGTTTGAGAGTCTGTTAGAGTGTTTCGTATGAGTTAGTACAGCATAAATAACTGCATCCAAAGGTCACACACACAAATACACACAAGCAATACACTCTGTGAAAGGTCTCTTCAGTTCATTCTGGGAGTTTGCAATGTCCGATTCCTCTCCGTCGGATTTGGTCCAACCTTTCCTTCGCTAGAAAAGGGTTTGGCATAAAAAATGTCCCATATTTTCCCTGGTGCCAATAACTTAAAAACAAATATGTGACAACAATCGGACTCAGTGAAAAGGAGTTCTCTTAGTTCCTTTACATAGTGCCTTCTCCAAACTGTCGAAAAAATTCCAAGTCTTTCCTCAGTGCAGTTAAACGTTCCCTTTTGGTGGGGTTGTAGCTACACAATAGGAATGGGGAGAAAGTGTGTGGCTGTGTTTTTTCTCCGGGTCTTTTTGGCCCTCATCGGCTTCCCATTGGCCATCAAGCCCACGAACATGGGTTTCTTCCTGTTCCTCCACTCTGCCGAGGCGTAGGTGTTGTACCTGTTCTCCTCTATCCGCTCTATCAGCTTGCAGTCAGCGCCAAAATCCTTCTGAAAGAAGAAGACATATGTGAGTCAGTTTTAGTCTGTATATCGGTTTGTTGCTTTATTTAAAAAGCAATGATCCGAATGCAAACCATATCAGTATTATAGTCACTACTGTAAGAAAAAAAAATGCATTTCATAAAATGGATATAATATTGTAATATAATGTTTTATCGTTATATGTATACAATATTGCTATAATATAATATTACATTAAAAGGATCAGTCCTTACATTTTAATATAAAATATATATATATATTTTATATAAATATAAAAAAATTGGAATTAATCCATTTTGGAATGGAATGAATGTAGTATAAGATATACTGTGTACACCACTATCTTGACTTTCACTCATCTTAACATCATGTCAATATTGCTGCCACTACTTTCAGAAAAAAATAATGCATTTCATAAAATTAATATTGTATATAATGTTGTATATTAATATTATCAATATAATATTGACACATTAAAATGATCAATTTGTACATATATCAAAGATATCTTTCAAACTTTTGAAAATTTTTTTTGTTTATTTCAGAATGAATATGTATCATAAGATGACCTGTATCCTCCACCATTTTTATGACAGCATCATCATAAGGATTATTTTGATTCCACATTTCCACATTTTATTCTTAGAACTCACAAAAAAAGAAATCACACACACACACAT